GGGTAAATGGATGTACCTTCAGAGCATACTCTTTTTTTTCCAGTACCGGGAATCGAGGCGCTGTGCCGCTGAGTTAAATCCCCAGCCCCGAGACCATACTCTTAAGTGAAATAAACTGGACAAACATTTTTATATTTATATTTATATTCATTATATTTATATTCATATTGTTTCTCTGGTGTGAGAAACCAAAGATGTAAATAATAAGGACCAAAATGTACACTAGATACTGGAAAATAGGAAGAAAGTGTTCAAAGGAGAAGGGGAACAAGGGAGAGGGGAGGGGAAAGGAAGGAAGGAACAAGGAAAAAAAAAGAAGTCAGGCATGCTGGCATATGCCTATAATCTTAGCACTTGGAAGGCTGAGGCAGGAGGATCACCACAAGTTTGAGGCCAGCCTGGGCTACATAAGAAGTTCACAGCCAGTCTGGGCTACATAGTGAGATCCTGTCTTAAAAACAAAAACAAAAACAAAAACAAAAAAAACCAACCAGGGATGCACTATAATGAAGGCTTGACTGGGGCTGGAGGATCTCATTCCAAGGTGGTACATCCACACGGCTGTTGGCTGCAGTCCTTAGTTCCCTACCCCAGGGGCCTCCCCGTAAGGCAGCTCCAGTGCCCTTACAACATGGCAGTTAGCAACTCCCAGAACAAGAGCTACAAGACAGAGGACAAAGAGGAAACCCTAATCTTGGACGTCACAGACCATCATTTCTGCCATATTCTATTAAAAGCCAAGTCAGTGCATTCAGCTCACGCTTAACTGGGGGAGGGTAAGAAGAAATAGGAGTATCAAAAAATCTGTAGACATATTTTTAAAACACAACAAAATTTCTGGCTGATCTTTCCCCCTCCAAATCTCTTTTCTCCAATCCATCCACAATACATCAAACTCCTTAATCTTCCTAAAGCACAACTCTGACGATAACACTCTGCAACTGAGCAGCTTTCCCTGGCTCCCACACTCTGGAGAATGCCTTAACCTATATTTCCCTCCAGTTCCAGTTCCACAGGGACCCATTCTGCCCCACATGTACAACCCACAGTCTCGGGTCTGGGGACCTTCCATGCCCCCCTGTTCTTCATTACCTACTCCGATTTCTTTCTCATTTCCAGCTTGCTGTACTTGCTGTTCATTCTTTGCCTGAAATGTTTTTCCTCCAGATCTCTGTAGGGTTGGCTTCTCATCATCTTGAGATCTGAACTCACCTCAAATCTCTATCACCCCCCATCCCAGTCACTTACTCCACTGCTTTGCTTAATTTTCTTTATAGCACTTACAAGTGTTTGAAAATATCTTGTTTACCTGATCTTTCTTGATACCCCCAACTGCTTAGCCAGAGGAGACACTTCTGTCTTGGTCACTGCTATAACCCAGGAGGGCCTAATTTCCAGTTCAGTGCATGCTACAATTAAGGGACCGTTCTTCCAGAAAGGATGACGCATTGCAAAAATGTCTTTTGAGGAAAAAAGAAAGCATGAAGACGCATCGCTATCAGTGAACTCTTGTGCATGTCTTATCTGTTGTGAAGTATCCTGCCAGTTGCACAGGGCAAGGCAGACAGGGATTTTTCTTAAGGGATCCAAACTCAGCTAAACTTTTAACTGTCTTAAGCTCCCCAGTGTCCGTCCCAGAGGCTGTGGAGTGGAAAGTGTGAATAAACGTTTGTTGAATGGATGGACACATGGATGGATACCTAGAGTGGTAAACATTAATAAATGCTTGCTGCCGGGCGTGGTGGCGCACGCCTGTAATCCCAGCACTCGGGAGGCTGAGATAGGAGGATCTTTGTGAGTTCGAGACCAGCCTGGGCTATAAAGTGAGCTCAAGGCCAGCTTGAACTGCATAGTGAGACCCTGTCTCAAAAAGCCAATAAATAAATAAATAAATAAATAATAAAAATAAACGCTTGTTGACTGGACGGATACATGGATGGAGGGACAGGGGGTGGAATAATGGATGTATCATTTTCTAGTGAACCCCTGGTCCAAATCAATCTAGAGGTAGGCAAGGATAGGAACGATTAAAATACACTGGAATAAGAAAGGCAGTAGCCACAGAGGCAAAGACGATCTTGGAGAGGTTCTAAGCCCTGAAAGGATCGTTCTGCCTATCACAGAATCATGTAAAATAAAATGAACATAGAGGGAAAAACTGAAAAGGTGTTAGAAAATTCAGGAAAGGTTTTATTTTCATGATCACAACTTTGATACCTTTTCTAGAATGTTGTATTTCTCCCACCCTCACCAAAGTTTTCCTCATGGCACTCGCGTCTCTGAGTTGGTCGTGACCTCAACTACTGGGAAATCTAGTGCCAGATATCGTCTACTGAGCATTTACTAGTTATCAAGGATGTGCTTCCATCCATTATCCCATTTAACCTACGAAGACGCCTACCTAATGAAGAAGATGCATTCTCTCCATTATAAGAATAAGCAAAAGGGGGCACTGGGATATGAACACAGGAAGTCTGACTTCACCGAACAATGAACTGCCTGGGCTGCAGTAGGGAAGAGTCAAACGCAGGGATTTCGAGCTCTTGGCTTTCAACAAGGCTGAGGGACCATATGGGCGCGAGAGAGCCTCCTCCTCCGAGCTCACTGTGCCTTTAAGACCCGCCCCCACCTCCTGCTCCAATTACCGTCCCAGGCACACAGGGCACCGCGCCGCAGAACCGCGCCTGGGCCCATCCGCCCCGCCCCACAGGCTCGCGCCCGGGCTCAGTCCTCGCCCGCCCGGAGTGGGGTGAGCCCCACCGATAGGCGTCCCCCGCGCCTCACTGTACCTGCTATGCCTCAGGGGAATGGCATCTTTGAGACCTTTATCCCGACCCCTGCCAGCTCCTATCTCTCAGGGGAATCCTCCGTGCCCCCAGCACTGCCCAGGCCCGCGACGCCCGTGAAGGTGACCTCCCCCAGGGGTGGCACACCGCGGGTGGCGCCAGAACCGCTCACACGTGGTGAGATAGCAGCGCGGGGGGGGGGGCTCCCAG